AGGCGCACCTTGTCGGTCGGGAAGCGCATGGCGCGGCCCTGGCGCGTCGCCAGCAGCACGTCCTGGTCCTCGCTGCAGACGCCGACGCCGATCAGGCGGTCGCCGGCATCCTCGCCCTCGAACTTCATGGCGATCTTGCCGTTCTGGTTCACGTTCACGAAATCGCCGAGCTCGTTGCGCCGCACGCCGCCGCGCGCGGTGGCGAACATGACGTTGAGCGTCGCCCAGCTCGCCTCGTCCTCCGGCATCGGCATGACCGTGCTGATCGTCTCACCCTCGGTGAGCGGCAGCAGGTTCACGAAGGCCTTGCCGCGCGCCTGCGGGGCGCCGAGCGGCAGCCGCCAGACCTTGAGCTTGTAGACGATGCCGCGGCTGGAGAAGAACAGCATCGGCGTATGCGTATTGGCCACGAACAGGCTCGATACGAAATCGTCCTCGCGCGTCGACATGCCCGAACGGCCCTTCCCGCCGCGGCGCTGCGCGCGATAGGCCGAGACCGGCACGCGCTTCACGTAGCCGCCATGGGTCACCGTGACGACCATGTCCTCGCGCTGGATCAGGTCCTCGATGTCCTGCTCGAACTCGTTGTCGAGGATCTCGGTGCGGCGGGGCGTGGCGTACTTGTCCTTGATCTCGACAAGCTCCGTGGCCATCAGCGCGAACAGCTTGTCGCGGTCGCCCAGCAGCTCGAGATAACCCTCGATCAGCTTTGCGACTTCGGTCAGCTCTTCGGCGATCTTGTCGCGCTCCAATCCGGTCAGGCGCTGCAGCCGCAGCTCGAGGATCGCGCGGGCCTGCACCTCGGACAGCCGGTAGGTTCCCTCGGCCGACACTTCACGACCGGGCTCGGCGATCAGGTCGATCAGCGGCTTCACGTCGGCAGCCGGCCAATCCTTGGCCATCAAGCGCTCGCGCGCCACGTTCGGATCGGGCGAGCGGCGGATCATTTCGATCACTTCGTCGATGTTGGCGACGGCGATCGCCAGACCGACCAGCACATGGGCACGGTCGCGCGCATGGTTGAGTTCGAAACGGGTGCGCCGGGTGAGCACTTCGGCGCGGAACCGAATGAAGGCCTCGAGCAGCTCCTTGAGGCTCATCAGCTTCGGGCGGCCACCGTCGAGCGCCAGGGCGTTGACACTGAAGCTCGTCTGCAACGGCGTGAAGCGATAGAGCTGGTTGAGCACGACGTCGGCCATGGCATCGCGCTTCAGGTCGATGACCAGCCGCACGCCGTCCCTGTCGCTCTCGTCGCGAATCTCGGAGATACCCTCGACCTTCTTGTCGCGCACGACTTCGGCAATGCGCTCGTGCAGCCGGGCCTTGTTCTCCTGGTACGGAATCTCGGTGACGACGATCGATTCGCGGCCGCCGGCCTTCGTCTCGATGTTGGTCCTGGCCCGCATGATCATCGAGCCGCGACCGAGCTCGAAACCGGCACGGATGCCATTGCGGCCGAGGATGATGCCGCCGGTCGGGAAGTCAGGACCCGGCACGTATTCCATGAGCTGCGGCACGGTCAGCTCGGGATTGGCGATCAGCGCCAGGCAGGCATCGATCAGCTCGCCGAGATTGTGCGGCGGGATGTTGGTCGCCATGCCCACCGCGATGCCGCCGGCGCCGTTGGCCAGCAGGTTCGGATAGGCCGCCGGCAACACCGTCGGCTCGCTCTCGCGCTCGTCGTAGTTCGGCTGGAACTCGACGGTGTCCTTGTTGATGTCCTCGAGCAGCGTCTCGGCGACCGTGGCGAGACGCGCCTCGGTGTAACGCATCGCAGCCGGCGGATCGCCGTCCATCGAGCCGAAGTTGCCCTGCCCCGAGATCAGCGGCAGGCGCATCGAGAAGTCCTGCGCCATGCGCACCATGGCGTCGTAGATCGCGCTGTCGCCGTGCGGGTGATACTTGCCCATCACGTCGCCGACGATGCGCGCCGACTTGCGGAAGGGCCGCGTCGAGTCGTAGCCGCCTTCCTTCATCGCGTAGAGGATGCGGCGCTGCACCGGCTTCAGGCCGTCGCGCGCATCGGGCAGCGCGCGCGACACGATCACGCTCATGGCGTAGTCGAGGTAGGAGCGGCGCATCTCCTCTTCGATGGTGATCGGGGCGATATCGTGCGGAGAAGACGGCGGCGGAGGCGCGTCGGAGGGGGCGGCGGCGCCGGCGGCAGGGTCGTATCGTCGCTCACGGAAACCTGGGATTTTTCTCGTTCTTGCAGCCCTGTCCGGAGACTCCGGCAGGGGTATTTCGCAAACCTAGCAAACACCCCCGCAAGACCAACAAAAATCGCCCGAAAGAAGCTGCCCTTTAATGCGTTGATTATTATTGACTAAATTCGTACCGAAAATAGCTCGCGGAAAGGCCGAGAATTGCCCCCAGAAAGTGTCCCTTCCCGCCCCTCCGTCGTGGTCTTCGACATGGGCGGCGTGCTGATCGACTACAACCCGCGCCACCTCTACCGAAAACTCATCCCGGACGAAGCGGAGATGGAGGATTTCCTGGCCAACGTGACCACCCGGGAGTGGCACATGCGCCAGGACCATGACGGCGATCCGGCGACCGCGACCCGCGAGCTGCAGGCGCGCCATCCCGGCAAGGAAGCCCTGATCGGAGCTTACTATGCCCGTTTCGACGAGATGCTCGACCACACGTTCGAGCCGATGACGGCCCTCGTCGAGCGGCTGGGCGGCGCGGGCGTACCGCTCTACCTGCTGTCCAACGCGCCCGGCTTCCTCGACGCCTGGCTGCGCGGACCGGCGCGCGCGAGGCACCCGTTCGTGAGGCATTTTCCGCGACTATCGTGGTGTCCGGCCATGTCGGCTGCTGGAAGCCGGACGCGGCGATCTTCGACCTGACCTGCCGCCGCGGCGGCTTCGCGCCGGAAG